AGATAACGAGCCATATATTCACTGTGTTAATAAAGTGTGTGGAGAGCAGAGGTTCTGGTCTGGTTTTCTGAAATCTGTGCAGGTTTACTTCCTCTTGGAGCCTCAGTGCCCTCCTCTGGTAATATCTTAATAGAGCAATGCACACTCTGATTCAGTGTGAATCTACTAACCCATACAGAATCAATATAGGTAAATCCTGTACTTGTGATTTAATTATGTCGGACTCAAAATAGACTTTGATAGGTGATCAATCAATTTATTAGTGCATGCATTGCTTCAAATACATGATCTTTAGACTTATACCAAACATGTGTATACATGTGGGAAGTGGGTTGTTGTTGGAGTGAAAACATCCCTGAACTAAGCACCAAATTCCCACTGCCCAGCCCTCATGCTGATTTGTATACAGTTTGTGTGTTGTCATTTCATCATTATGAGTAAGAGGCTCCTAAGTTTCCTACATTAAATCATTAAAAACATTGTGGATCCTCCTATGCTTGCCACATCCTCGATCATCATATCACTGTGACCAGTGAGTATTGCATTGTGAAGAGACAAAGACTCCTGGTAGTCTCCCAGGCAGCCTCCGTGTTCTTTGTGCTCACTCATGTCCATACGGAGGAGTCTGTCTGTAGGCAGATCCTGCACACTCACCCTGATCTGAAATAAGCTCTAGGATATAGATTCCAGCACAGACAACAGGAGGATCAAAGACATCAAGTGGATTTTTACTGTGCTTGTGCTCACACATATGTATGTCCATGTAATCATGGTGAGAAGAATAAGAGTATCCTGGCAAATTTGGACAGTTTTATCACACTGGTGTAATCTACCCAACTGAGCTTTTTACACTGACTCTTCTCATTTCCCCTCCAATTTTCTTGCTTAGATTCTTGTAAATGGTTCTTTGAGAATCTGTGGCTGTCAGGGTTAAGTGCCAATTTTTGCCTTTGTTTTTAAATATATGGTCCCTAAGATTTCTGTTTTGAGCTCCAGGCACTCTTCCCTGAACTGGTTTGGCCTCAGTTAGCAATCACCTAAACATTAGACCACACCATGGAAACAATTTGAAGAATTTTAGCTGATGAAAGGATGCATTCAAACTCTAAGTATGTATCAAATATAAGGCATGTGACATTCCTAAATTTTCTGCCTTTGTGAGAGTTTGTGTACATGACACTATACATCTAATTGGCATAAGTGTGTATTTAAGCAATAGCAAGCACTGTTTGCTTTGTCAGATTGAAGCCACCACTGGAAAGCAGTTCTATTTTGAAAGTGAGAACAAATGCAAATTGACTGGGGAGCATTCTACACATTGGGCACATGTTGCTGTCTCACAGTAGTTCTGTCCATAGGGTGGCTCAGGAGAGCAAGGCCACTCACTCCTCAGAGGACACATCCACATTGGCTCAGAAGAGCAAGTCCACTCACTCCTGACAGGACACGTGCACATTGGCTCAGGAGAGCAAGGCCACTCACCCACTTCTCACAGGACACATCCTGACACAGTGATAGAGTATGCCCAGGGAAGCTGCCAAATTCATAAGCAGTGAGCAGAACTACTTCATGTCTCTCTGAGGACAGTAATCCACAGATGATGATTGTGACAAGCATGGTGAAGGGGAGAATTATACTTTATCCCAAATGAATGACCCAGACATGTAAGACACACACAGGACCTACATGGGCAGTGGAGACCATTTGTGGTTCCAGGTACAGTGTTGTGGGATTAATCTGGATTAAAATAGTTTGATGTGTCCTTGCCAACTGTAAAAAACAAATCACATCTTGAATAGCTTAAGAAGTTTTTTGGACATTCTCTCCAAAGCCTAATAGCCAGTCTTCCACTGACTTCCAACTGTGAATCTTTCTTTCTATCCCATCTTAGATAATTTGATATCTTAGTACAGCTTACACAAAGGAACTGAGGCAATTTAATCAGACACCACAGGAAGGGAGAACTCCATCCATCTTATTCCATCAGCATCTCAAGAGTCTGTTCACACAAGACATCCCCAAGAGCTGCCAGAAACAGCACCACTTCAATTGACTTTCTGAAGGACATAATCTGGCAGAGCTCTACACCCACAAGCTCAGCCAAGGCCCGATCAGCCACCTGCCAGGACAGAGGCTGTGAAACTCCACCCTCTCCTTTATCCATGAGTGGGGACAGCATTTAAACTAGGACAGTCTCCAGTGTCCTCACAGGGAAGTTGTGGAAGGAGGAGCTTCCTCTCAGAGACAAAGCTAGCCATGAGGATTTCCAGGTCTTCAGAGAAGACATTCGATCATTTTGCCTTCAAGAATTTCTGTTCTGTCACCTCCACAATGGCTTAAAGTGTGATGCATAGCAGCTGTAGAAATCAACTAGGAAGTGCTTTATGATGAATGGAGTAGGAATAGGTGGGGTAGAATCTGAGGATAAATGTTGATGCCACAGAACTCTTAACCTTGACACATAGACAGAATTCGCCGTGACTATGGTGTGTGCAGAGTG